AACTGGCTGAAAAGAAGACGACTAAAGAAGCATGGGATGCACTAAAGATAATGTTAATGGGAGTCGATCGAGTGAAAGTGGCGAAAATTCAAACCTTGAAGGCAGAGTTTGAAGCCCTGAACATGAAGGAATCTGAAAGCGTAGATGATTTTTCCATGAAGGTGAGCAATGTGGTGAGTACTTTACGAGCATTGGGGGACACAGTGGAAGAGTCATATGTAGTAAAGAAGTTATTGCGAGCCGTGTCATCTAAGTTCCTGCAAATTGCCTCAACTCTAGAGCAATTTAGGGATCTAAATGAAATGTCCACTAAAGAAGTGATAGGTAGACTAACGGCTCATGAGGATAGGATGAAGGGCCATAGTGAAATAGAAGAAAAAAACTTCTGTTAACCCATCAAGAGTGGACAGAGAGAAACAAGAAGAAGGGGGAGATAACTCAAAATTTAAAGGAAATAGAGGAGGTTCAGACGTTTCACGTGGAAGAGGAAGAGGACGGGGCAGAGGCAATAATCAAGCTGGTCGAGGTGGTCGGAGAAGAAATGGCTCACACAATCAAAAGGATGGGAACCGTGCATCATCCAGTAATCAAGACAAGAGTGGAGTGCAATGCTACAACTGTCAAGATTACGGACACTTTGCAGCCGAGAGCAAGAATCCTAGACGAGATATGATTCAAGAAAACAACCTAATACAAGATGATGAACCAGCACTCATGTTGGCGTCCCTTGAAACAGGAGAACAGACGTGTGAAGTCTTCCTGAATGAAGAAAAAGTGAACCCACAACTGAAAACAAGAGGAGATGAATCAAGTCAAACAAACCTGTGGTACTTAGACATAGGGGCCAGCAATCACATGACAGGTGATAAAAGGAAATTTTGTGATCTTAACACAACGATTCAAGGCTATGTAAGATTTGGGAAGGAATCCAGAGTTAGAATTGAAGGAAAGGGAAGTATAGTTTTTCCAGTGCAAAAACGGAGAACAAAGAAAGCTACAGGAGGTGTATTATATACCTGATCTCTGTAACAACATCATAAGCTTGGGTCAACTATCTGAAGGAGGAGACGAAATAAGAATCAAGGAACCATTTCTATGGGTCCATGATGCAACCAGGCGACTACTGATCAAAAGTACGACGATCCCTGAATTGTCTCTATAAGATTGAACTAGAAGAAATAAAAACAAATTGCAAAATTGCGAAATTGAGCAATCCGACATGGCTGTGGCATGCAAGGTTGGGGCATGTAAACTTTGTTGCACTCAAATTAATGTCTGATAAGAAGATGGTTGAAGGAATGCCGAAGATAGACATCCCATCACATCGGTGTGATGCCTGTTTGGTTGGGAAACAGTTGAGAAACCTATATCCGTCTCACACAAGCTACAAAGCACAACGAAGATTAGAGCTCATCCATGGGGACTTATGTGGTCCAATATCACCTCCGGCACCCGTAGGGAACCGATACTTCTTGCTACTAGTAGATGACTATAGTAGAGTCATGTGGATGTACCTGCTGAAGACGAAAGATGAGGCCTTTTAGTTTTTCAAAAGCTTCAGGGTAAAAGTGCAGACAGAAATGGGTGAGAAGATAAAGATACTAAGAACAGACCGTGGAGGTGAGTTTTTCTCGAACCATTTCACAAAGTATTGTGATGAAACAGGGCTTGAACGTCACTACACATCGCCGTATTCACCACAGCAAAACGGCATGGTAAAGAGACGCAATCGAACGATTCTGGAGATGGTTAGATGCAAACTGAAGACGATGAGCATGCCAGATGTACTGTGGGGTGAAGCGGTGAGCTATGCTGTTCACATACTGAACAAAATTAGTACCAAAGCTCTCAATGAATCAACGCCACACGAGATGTGGACTGGTCGTAAAGCACAAATTGGGCACCTCAAGGTATTCGGGTGCGTGGCACACATGATGATCACTAAGAGCCATTTGAAGAAACTGGAAGAAAGAATCAAGCCTGTGGCACACTTGGGAATTGAAAGGGGATCGAAAGCATACAGATTGCTAGACCCAGACACTGGTTCGATTCACATAAGTAGGAATGTTGTATTTCATGAAGATCAGACATGGATGTGGGAAAAGGCGACAAAAGTATGAGCGATACCAGGTATAACTTTCACAGTTGAAGGGTTTGATTTTAACGATGACCAATTAGTCGTTGAAAGCGAGAGTAATGAAGGGGATGGGGAAATTTCGGGTACACCCGACAGACAGGATCCATCTTATGATATGGACTGGGCCGGTACTGACTCACATCCCACCAATCACCAAATGGGCTCCCAATCGGATCAAATGAGAGTCCGCTGAATTCATCGCTAGCGTTAAATTCACTGTCAACACCAAATTCTCCGACTTCAACGAATTTGCCTATATCTACACCAAATTCCTCAAGTACAAATTCAAGCTCAACCGGTGGCGGTGCTCCCAAACGTTACAGGTTACTTACAGAACTGTATGACGCCACAGAACAAATATTGATGGTTTGTGAAGACGAAGAACCAACCACGTACCTAGAAGCCAAGAAAAGATTCGAGTGGGTGAATTCCATGAAGGCGAATCTGTCATCGATTGAGAAGAACAATACATGGAGCCTCGTGAATATGCCAAACGGGCGAAAGCCAATTGGTCTAGAATGGTATTTAAGGTGAAACGAGACCCAACGTGGAAGATCGTGAAACACAAGTCTAGAATCGTAGCAAAGGGCTACGTCCAAAAACAGGGAATCGACTACGAGCAAGTATTTGCACCCGTTGCACGAATTGAAACGGTACGAACTATCCTAGCTCTCGCAGGCTCTAACAGATGGAAAGTGCATCATCTTACGTGAAGTCAGCGTTCCTGAATGGGAATTTAGAAGAAGAAGTATACGTAACCCAACCTGAGGGTTTCGAAAAAAAGGGGAAAGAAGGAATGGTGTACAAACTCACAAAGGCTCTCTATGGGCTGAAACAAGCACCCAGAGCTTGGAATGCTTGTTTGGATAAGTATCTGAACAGTTTGGGATATGTTAGATGCCAGCAAGAACACTCTATTTATACAAGAAAGAAAGGAGGTCACATCTTGATTATTGGTGTGTATGTGGACGATCTTCTAGTGACTGGAAGCAATCAAGAAGATGTGGAAAAGTTTAAACTGGAGATGAACAACAAGTTTGAGATGAGTGATCTTGGGTTGCTCACTTATTGTTTGGGAATTGAAGTGAATCAAAGTGGAGTTGGAATAACTCTGAAGCAAGAAGCATATGCCAAAACTATCCTTGCTAATACCCGAATGTTAGAATGCAATCCCACTAAAAGTCCAATGGAGCATAAGTTGAAGCTGACTAAAGATGAAGGAGGAGAGCTTGTAAATCCTATTGACTACAGGAGCATAGTAGGAGGACTCAGGTATTTAACTCACACCCGTCCTGATATATCATTTGCAGTTGGAGTTGTCAGCCGTTTCATGGAAAAACCCAACCATCAAACATCTTCAAGCTGTAAAAGGTATTCTAAGATACGTAAAGGGCACCTTGGATTATGGTTTGGTGTACACAAAAGGAGAAAGGAAAATCACTATTACTGGATATTCAGATAGTGATATGGGGAATGATGAGGTTGACAGGAGAAGCACAGGTGGGATGGCTTTCTACTTAAATGACAACCTGGTGTCATGGACATCCCAGAAACAATTTTGTGTAGCCCTGTCTTCATGTGAGGCAGAATTTATGGCTGCAATTGTGGCAGCTTGTCAAGGAATTTGGTTACATCACCTTCTTGTGGAAATCACTGGTCAAAACATACCTCCTGCAGCTCTGTATGTTGATAACCAGTCAGCTCTTGATCTCATGAGGAATCCTGTATTTCATGGTCGAAGCAAGCATATCGATATAAGGTTCCATTTCATAAGAGAATGCGTAGAAGATGGAAAGATAACAGTGACTCATGTTTGCAGTAAAAGTCCGAAGGCAGATATACTTACAAAACCAATGGCAAGGGTGAAACTTGAGGAGATGCGAAATCTAATTGGAGTAAAGCAGGTTACCAACTCTGAACTAAGGGGGAAAATGTTAAAGTAGTTCAGAGTTATTTTAGTCAATGCACGTTTCTTTATATGTTTTTATTTAGAAGTAGTAGAGAGAATAAGTCAAGGCTATGTGGGTTAGTGTCTCCTGGTCTTTAGCTAGCAGTAGAGTGTCTCCTGGTCTTTAGCTAGCAGTAGAGTCGGTTGCTATTTTTATGCTAAGTTTTGCTTTAAATAGTTAGTCATGTACGAGGTGTTATGTGTTGTCTATTTTCCAAATTCATGAATGATAAGTGCAACTTTCTGCTCCAGCCCCTGTGTAGTTCTTTTGTCCCATTCTGTTTTCGGTTTTTACCCACTGTGATACTTTAGTTTTGTCCCTTGTTGCTTTATTATCTCGAGAAAAGTCATTAGCATTCCTCCAATTTATTATCTCGAGAAAAGTCATTAGCATTCCTGCAAATAGCCAACAAAATGTTTAAGGTATTTGGAGGAATGTAGATTGGGTAGAACGGGAAAGTGAATTTGGGTGAAAATGGAGGGGCAATGAAATTAAAACTTCAGGGGAAACGAAAGTTTATGTATTTAGGGTAACATATATAGAACCTGGTTGAGTTATAAAAACGGGTTTTATAAAAGAAAATCCGAATAGGATTAAGTTTACACTAAATAGAACCCGGATTTCTGTAATACTGGGTTAGTGGGTCTTATTAGGAATTTCGTAGTAGTGATTAACTTTATGTTAGTGACCCACAATGAGAAACCATATTAGAATCAAGAATTTCTAAGCGTACACAAAACTTTGTCTCAGTGGTGTTAATGGAAGACCAAAGACCTGATTAGAATTTCAAAATTTCAAACATATACAAGATCAACATACCCCACGTCTCAACAATTCTCATGACTTTAAAAAAAAAATACAGTAATAAATAAATAAATAAATAGTAAGATAAGAGAAAATCACTATAAATAGAGATGACGACTATGAACCTCGTACAAGCATCTCAAGATTTGAACGTACTCGTTGTAATGGAGTCTAAACTCTTTCTTCCCTTTTCATGTATCCTCTTTCTTGCTTCATTTATGCTACCAGTTCTTTCGCATGTTCAGGACACTCATTTACGACCAAATGGGTCATCGGGTAATAACACGAACCCGTCACCTTTTGGGTTTCTTAAAGCCATGCAAGGGTGTCATAAGGGTGATACAGTGAAGGGGATTCGTGACCTTAAACTGTATCTTGCTCGTTTCGGATACCTAAACTATCAGAAAAACCCTAATGTCACAGATCTTGAAAAAAATCATTTTGACGAGGAGCTTGAGGTAGCCATCAAGTCGTATCAGGTCTACTACCATCTGAATGCCACGGGGACGCTTGACGGGCCAACGGTGTCACAGATGGTCATGCCTCGTTGCGGGTGCCCAGATAAAGTAATTCACAAGCACACCGATCATAACTCTTTACCCACAGTCTCCCTTTACAAATTCTTTCCCGGAACACCAAAATGGAACCGTGGTCATCTAACTTACGCTTTTGGACCACGTTTCCCAACCCAATTCATGTCAGCTGTTGATTGTGCTTTTGGAAAATGGGCTACTGCTTCTTCTGGATACTTCACGTTTTCAAGAGCAGGAAGTTATCAAGGTGCTGACCTAAAGATTAGTTTTCAACGTGGAGACCATGGAGATGGGAGTCCCTTTACTAGTCAAGTGTTGGCCCATGCTTTTGCACCTTCGGATGGAAGATTCCATTATAATGCGGATGAAAATTGGGCTATTGGAGCAGTGCAAGGTGCTTTCGATGTGGAGAGTTTGGCTTTACACGAAATAGGGCACCTTCTTGGGCTTGGTCATAGCGAGTTTCAAACCTCGATAATGTGGACTAGTTTCGGCCCAGGGGCCACGAAAGGTTTGACCTCGGACGACATTCAAGGGCTCCGTACTCTATATGGTATTTAGATTAGATTGAAGAACATAAGGATGCATAATTATAGTGTTTACATGTATGTTTTATGATTGTGTTTACATGTGTGTTTTATGATTACAAATATCTAATGAATAAGTGAATGTTTTAAAATCCGGTTTTTAATTTATTTGGTGACAGATCGGGTCATGTGTAAACCAGTATAATTGTCGTCTCAACCATGTTTTCGAAATTTCAATGCATTTTATATATACCACTATTCATATATTTCTAGTTTTTAGTTGATTTGGTGTGATGATCGGGTCATTAGTAAACCGGTTCAACCGTCGGCTCAATCTCGTTTTCAAAAATTTAATGCATTTTATATATACGAGTACTCATATATGTATACAAAACCTTGAAATTGATATCCAGATGTTCAGATATTATAAAAAAACATAACCACAAGTTTTAGATCAATTGAAATACATCATAAAAGACACATAAACTATAATACCAAAATAAAATATATATGATGAAACGAAACACATCATAATCAAACCAAATCATGGATATTGAGAAATTTGAGTGTTATATGCATCAAGCTCACGACCATTTAGGTGTTGTTTGTTTTTTTGAAGCCAAAATGTCTGCAGTCTGCGGATCACATCTGCAAGCCTCTGCGGCAGAAGAGGTGGACAAAATGTCTGCAGTCTGCAATAAGAAAAAACTGTTTGTTTTAACGTCTGCAGCGGTTGAAATAAATTGATTTTTCAAACTTAATTTCATGTCATAAACATTAAAAATGCATTTTCAGCAAAAAAAAAAAAAAAAAAATAAAGAAAGAAAAAAATTGCATGGTGGCCTATGTTTTTTTTTAGGTTAAAATGAGGTCTGAAGACCTTAGAAGACAGTGGCTCATGTCTACGTCAGGAACACCTCGCACAGACATTTTTTGATCTGCGCACTTTCAAAAAAGAAACACTCTGTGAGGGCATATGTCTGCGCCGCGCAGACAAAAGTGGTTGCGCAGATCTTCACAAAAAAAAAAAAAAAAAACAGCCCCTTAGTATAAAAAATTCTCCATTATCTACATCCTCATCAACAAAACATGATCATTTTCTTTTTCTATAGGATCAAATAAGAATTTTTAATATCATATAATAGAGTAAAGCTAAACTAAAATTACTACACTAAATTAATATATGTCGAATAAAAAAATGCCACCTTCTGCTTGAGAAATCGGTCCTTGCTTTTGTTCGTTATGCATATATTATCTAAACTCTTGTAATCAATTTCTTCGTTTGATTTTATGGTAAATTCAGGTAGGTCAATCCGGGTCAATGGTCACCGTTTCAAACAGGTTTGTTGGTAAACTCGGGCGAATCAATCGGAGTCATGAACAAATAAGCAAAAAATCACTCTTAGTTGGTGTGGTGTTTTTACTAGGACATGGTCGAACCAGTCTGATTCGAGTTTAATTTAAAACATTATCAACCATTTTCACTATCTTTTCGAATTACAACAACATCATGATGATTATTGTGCTTATACCATACATATCTTTTCAATGTGTTTTGTTGGGTTTTATTTTAAAATTGGTTTCTAAAACGACAAAATTGACAACGGAAGCATGATAAAGTTTGAGTATCATAAAACAATTTTATTCTTACCAAGGATTATTTTGCATTGTTTTGCATGAACATGAAAGATTAAATATACAACCATAGGAGGTTAAAGATATTACAACCTTTGAAGACTTTGAATCTTATTGAGAGCTTGGAAGTTGATGAAGATGGAAATAACCCAAAAAGAGTTCCTTTAAAAGTATCCACCAATAATTACCAACACTATAGGAAAAATGACATACAACCACTTTTTTTCGAGCCCAAAACATGTGATCATATCCCTTATAGTCACACTTTTTTCATCTGAAGTGTCATCATAGGTCGTGATACCCTAGGCATCTTATGGTCACGTGAAAATTCAGTATTGAAAAGTGTGACCATAGCAGAAAAAAGTGTGACTATTTTGTATGATATTTTTTGTTGTAATCAAAGATTTTATCGAATATGTGGCCATAATTACATTTTAGACACACTTTTCGATATTTTAGTAGCTTTCGTATGTCGACTTGAATGTGTTTTTACTCTGTTGTTTGCTGTTATTTTTTGTCATATAAAATTCTTAAGTATGATTATGCTCAACTAACGATCACATGAATTTATTGTTAGTTTGACAATAGCTATTATTTAGTGTTGTGACATGTCTCCGACTCGATTCCTACTCCGTGTGGGATGGAAAAAAAGGGCCTGAAAATCACAACAAAGAAAACAAGACCGCCAGTTGTCGTCTGGGAGGTTGTCCCGCAACGATGCTCCGACGATCAAGTCAGTTCAAGGTTCTAATGAGAGGGTGAGAAAGTATGAGACAACGGGTTAATGTTGAATGTTGGTCCATTCTCTTGGAGGAGGAGGGACCTTTTTATACTTGGAATCAGGAGGAAAGAACCCCGACCATATCTTCTACTTTTTCAGGTCTGGCAGAGACAGACGGCTTCCGATTGGTAGATCGTGCTCCGTGGGTAGTTGCTTACCATTAGTGCAGAGCTGCCAGGAGTGGCGTTCTAAGTGGCACACTTGTCACTCAGGCATACAACTAGTACTATTTTGTCTCAACACCAGCTTTGATGCTTGGGCGCCAAGGAATGAGTTTGGGATCGCAAGAACGAGGGCGAGAGCCGGGGCCCGACGTTAGGCGTATACTGATCTTTGCTCAAACCGTCTGACGGTATGTTATTTTTGACATATTCTTGGTAGGATATGTCAACAAGTTCCCTTGGATAGTAGACATCAGCGTTTGCTTATGGTATCTGAGTAGTTCTAGCTTAGATCTGGGCACACGTCTGGTGGAAACAGTCCCTGACATGTAATAGAGCCGTTCTGGTGAAACAACGTCGCTTCGTTCCATTTTTTCCTCTTCTCTTTCTTCCTTTTTCTTTTTCTTTAAGGGTTGTCTATCTTTAGGAGCGGTTATACACTTCCTCTTCCCATAATCCGCCATCCCATTCTATATTGTCAATTCTTCTTTCACCCATATTTTTTCTCTTCGATTCTTGATGGCCTTTGCTAGATCTAGAGTCGCTCCTACACCCGAGGAGTTCGAGTCCCTGCAATTCCGATTTGGGTTCATGCTTGAGCATGAAGATTAATTCCCGTCGGAAGTGAAACATCCAAAAATTAAGACCCAAAAATTTCATTTTTAATTTAAGTAAAAACAGTATTCCAAAACATTGTTCATACAACCCAATAAAATAAATATGTCAAACATCATAAAAATCAGAGTATGTCCCATAAACAGAAACCATATGATGTGTGTGATGCAGTCAACCCGAGCTCTTCTCCTTGGAACCGAAAGTACCTGAAACATAAACTAAAAACCATAAGCACAAAGCTTAGTGACTTCCCAAAATACCGCATACCATACATATCATATAACTGGCCCTGCCCACACTCGCATAATAGGCCCCGCCCAAAGAGATACGGGCCCCACCCACACTTGAATAACGTTCCTCCCCCAAATGAGATACGGGCCCCGCCCACACTCGAATAACATACATATACAAGCACATACAAGTATCACACAGACAACAAGTATAATAACATAACCAATCGAGGGTCCGCCTTGGTGCCTTAGACCCACTAAACGCAGTGAGGAAACTCACCTCGAAAAGATGAATGAAACGAAAGATCCCTGATTGTTTGTCCTACAGCTCCCCGAGATATCAATTGCCAAATAAAAAAAAATTAAGATTTGGGATCTAGATCATAACCAAAAATCCTTACTTGGGGTAAAAAGACCATTTTACCCCTAACTAGCTTGGTCCAAAAATGAAGCCCATAACCACAATCCAATGGCCCCAAAAGTTAAACAATCCATCAAGACCCAAAATATGTCCCAATTTACAATTGGGCCCAATCCTTTCACATGGGTCATAGCCCAAGGCCCAATAATATTCATTGCCCAAAAACTCCCAAAATCAGATGGCCCAACTAAACCCTAACCTTCTAAACCCAAAACGAGGCCCAAACCAAGGCCCAACATTGACATGCTATTAGACTGAGTATGTTGGGCGTACTCTGTTGGCACACTAAGCGTATTGGATCGAAGGCTTGTACGCCCAGGGTACTCTTACAATTCAACCAACTTCAAGATTTAGCTCCTAACCCATTAACACTATGTTCTAGAATGTAGATCTGACCTCCTTAAGCTGAAATATCATGTAAAGTTTCTAACTTTATGTCCATGCATAACCATAAGAAGCTCTAAAGCTCAACAGGGACTTAATAGAGGACTTAATGAATGCATGAAGCCCCTAAACTCCATAAATTTGGCACCTTTAAGCCAAAGGAGCCTATGAAGACCTTAGATCTGAAAGAATAAGCCTTTGGGACGTCCTAATCCCGTCATCCATTCAAACCATGGCTATAAACATAACAATTTAACTTGAAAAAAGATCTAAGCATCTAGCAATTAAGATGGGGACTTGATACCTCACAAGCTTGGCAAATAAGGTGGTGATTCTGGATCCAAGACCTCCTCTTCAGGATAAGCAACTTCTAGCTTCTTTAACTCCTTCAAAATGCACAAAAATGAATACCAAAAGCTCTCCAAAGGCTTGCACACCCAACAATGGAAGCTAAGACTCGATTGTAGGGTTTCTGGAAAATAAAGGCTGATAGGGAGGCTAACACTTGGGACTCAATGACATTATATAGGGCTTGAACCCTAAAAATTAGGGTTTTGTGTTTAAGCAAGTACGCTGGACGTACATCCTTGTACGCAGTGCGTACGTTCATGCCTCCGCGATCCACTTAGACCAACTACGCCCCGCGTACACCAGGGTTACGCCCAACATATGGCCCCGAATAGCCCACACATAAAATGCCCAAAACACTAAGCCCAAAGCAACATAGTTGATTTACATAATAAAAAAATAATACCTTAGAACCATCGGGTGTTACAATCCTCCCCCACTTGGATCATACTTCATCCT